GTCCTGAGGGGACAAGAGAGTAGAGTGCCTTACGAATAAGTGATACAACAAGAAGGAGAGTGTGGTTTCTTTTTATATATTAGTGGTGGAATGGAGAGGAGAGTGTCCCTGGAATGAGGGAGTCGCAGGCTGCAGTGCGTAAGGAGAAGATGATGAGATACCTTGGCCAGCTGGGCTATGGATTAACTTAACAGCAACTTTTGAACTCTGAGAAAGAGTGCGCAGGCCTAACAGGCCTGTGGATATTCACTTCTCTGCCCCGCGCAGCATAAAGTTGGAGTTAATGAAACACATGATGTGTGTTGTTAAGGGGGGTACATGTTAGGGGGGAAATGTAATGGGTGGATTGGGAAGTCTGTGCCTCTTGAGTACCTCAGCCAGTGGGGAAAGGGAGAGGGTTTAATGCAGCAGGGAAAATAGGATAAAAGGAGGCTGCGTCCTCTGGCAGTTTGAGAGATCTTACAGGGACTTGGCAACTCCAGTGAACTCTTCCTTTTTTCGAAAGTAAGACTCCTCTCTCTTCTTTGTGAACACCGACCTCTGGCAAGTGATTTTCCACACACTCCTGAGGCATCTGAACTGGCCTTGGTTGATTGATTGATTTTTAAAAAAGAAAGTTAAATCCTTCCTCAAAGCAAGCTGCAGCTAAACATCTACCAAATTCAAAGACTCACAGAATCATAGAATGTGTTGGGTTGGAAGGGACCTCTAAAGGTCATCTAGTCCAACCCCCCTGCAGTGAGCAGGGACATCTTGAACTACGTCAGGTTGCTCAGAGCCCCATCAAACCTGATCTTGAATGCCTCCGGGGATGGGGCCTCCACGACCTCTCTGGGCAACTTGCTCCGGTGTTTCACCACCCTCTTAGTAAAGAAGGAATTAAACCACTGATCTGCACCTTAGTTGCATCTGTGTCTACGGGAAATGCTGCTAAAACAAACTGGGAGGCACTTTCGCACGTTTCCAGTACGTTACTGTCAGCTCTGGGCGCCTGCAGCCACACCAGAAGTACTTGGTTGAGCACAAGGATTGCAGACTCTTGCCCAACAACCTGTGGTTCTTGTCTCTACTTCCTCACACCCTTTCCTCTTTTTGCCGCTTCATTTTAAGGCCAAGCATACACTTTAACTGTGATAAAATGCAGTTCCGTGATTCATTGTAGAGATTTCTATCTCTAGTCTTGCTTTGCTGAAGAAAGAAATACTTGTTTTTGCCAGAGGAAGCAAAGTGATACATTTTGTCAGTCACTGGGGAGAGCAGGTGTAGGAGTACACAAAATAAAGCTGCCCTTCCCAGAAGCGTGATTCACAAATAAGGATCATGCTATGTGACTTACATGCTTACTGGGCAACAGTCTCTGAAGTTCCTCATTAAGGTAGGTGGTAGTAGAACAAATGTTTGTATCACTAAATAATAAGTTAATTTTGAAGGCATTTCAATGGGAATTTAAGTATCATGACATGCTGGTAATTCTAGCCTCTTTCAGGTTAATTTATTAATGTTTAAATGTATTTATTAAAAATGAATTCTAGAGTGGCCCTAAAGATTTTAATTTTGTGGAAAAGTAAGGGCAGTGACTTAGGAGGAATGATGACAGATGAAGCTCAATAGCTTTAGATTATTTTCCCCCATGATAGATGGTAATTTTGAGTGTAAAGTGGATTTTACACTGTAATTTTTGAAGATTCTGTACAAGGCCATGCATGTTTTAGAACTGCATAACAGTATTAATCACTATTGTAATACAAAGTTATTACTTCAGGATGAAATTAACATTATAAGCAAATAAATGTGTGTGTTTTTCTATTGGAATAGAAGGATATACTTCTTTCCTAAGTTCCTAAACTACATTCTTGAATCTAGCACTTGCATTTTCTAATTTTATTTCTCTTTCATATTTCAGTAATTCATTTCACTTGTATTTTCTCATTATGGCAATATTGCAAATGGTTTTGGAATAAATGACCCACAGAGATTGAACACTTTTACTCATCTGAGATTTCACTGAAGTTTATTATGCTAAGTGTTATAGCCATACTAATGGGTTTCAGAAAAGATACTTGCCTTGTAATAAATAGATAAATATAAAGAAAAGATGGAAGGAAACAACTAGATTTGGCTAGTTGTAACAAAATGCAAAAGTATGCATAACATTTGACAAACATATTAATTTTTTTCCAGTGATTGTGCTGGTAAATCTGAGAGCTAATGGCATGCAATTAATGGTAATATTCTTATTTTTTGTTTAACATATGCTTCATCTTTCTTTATTGTATGTGGGCAGAGCTGGAGAACTCAAACTGTGCCAGTGGCCAGGTCATACTCTCACTTAACTGAAGAGCTCTCAAATAAGAGTCTCTAATTTATAGCAGTTTTTAAAAGTTAACCAAATGTATGTCTGATTCTGTATTCATTAGAGTAATAAGCAGGTTATATTCAAGTAGTTAAACTGTTATATTCCGAAACAGGAATGAATGTTTCGTAGAAGCGAGGTTTTATCTCTAGGATTTTATCTCATCCTGAGGATGGGTAGGAAAATCTTTCTGGCTAAGGGCAGGCAATGGTGAGGTTTGTATGTAACAACATCACAAGGTGTTTGTAAAGCAGCTGTATTGACAGAAGTGGAGAAAGAATCATAGAATCGTAGAGTACCACCGTAAGGCTCATCGGCATAACAGAAGAAAATATAAATTGTTCATGTTCTGTTGCCTACTGCCCGTCCTATCTTTCCTTTCGTTTTTTGGATGACCTCTTTTCACTTGAAGCTGAGAAATTAAATATGATGTACAGAATGAGATTTAGAGTGAAAAAGTAATTTTAAAGATTATTTCCTCTGTGTCCTGAATCATTGGGATGTTAAATCATGAATGCATTATGGTATGCTAACCCAGAAAGAGAGGTTGTAGTGTGGCAGTTCTGAATTCAGGTCTCAGCTAAGATGGAATTTCTGACCAACACTATACAGAAATAGAGAGTGGTTTATGTCTTTGCCAGGACAATATTCCAAGTGTTTGAGCATTAAATGCCAAAGTTACTGCTCTGTTTTAATTTAAAAAAATAAATATATATAGACCCCACCCACTGTTTCCATGTCCACTGTTTAACTCAATCACAACACTGCTGAAACAGGAGAGACAGATTATTTTTCCATTCCCATTAAATGGAAAATAAGACAAACTGTACTTTTATAAACCAGACTTGATAAGAACTTGACAACTAAATTGATATAGCTAAATGGAAAGAAAAAATCTGAGTAATGCATATGCACATAGATCATTATTAAGTTCGGAGAGGAAGGTGTTTGATTTTTAGTGTAAAACTTGCTTTTTCATATTAATTTGATGAAGACAGAAAGCTGGTGAAAAGATTAAATTTTGTTCTCTACTTGACCTCCTGCAAAGCATGAAAACACGTAGTTCAATCAGAATTAAATAATACAGAAATTACGGTAATGTATGTGGAAAATACATCTGGAGGGAAGCAAATGCTGTTTCATAAGCTGTCAGTAGGTGGCACAAACATTTATATAAAAAATTTGGGCGTTCCTAAGTGTTGTTGCACGGCAGGATAGAGTTACAGGAAGTTTCCTTTTTGAGTTTTCCTGAGTATATTTTCTGCTTTTTCGGAGAGCAGGGATTTCTGGTGAGAACCTTTTAATTTCATTGATTTTATGCAGTTGCTAGTTAGCTAAAACTGTTACATTCAGCAACTTACTTGAAAATGAGCCATGTTTTTTGTAGAGGGTTATTAGCAAGTGTATGATGTACTTTCAAGTGTATGGGAAAGAAATAAGAGTAAAATTGCTTGTATTCAGTAAATTTGTTACCATAATCTGGCCACGTGGTAGTCTCTTTATATTAGCACTACACCCATAGTTATGGGGGCACAGTGATTTAATGGGAAGAGTTTTTCTACACTTTGGGAATGGGTCTAACTTGATACATTTCATCCATATGAAAGGCACATTTTCGAGTTTTGTATTGTGCTGATTAACTTGAGAAGTTCACGCCTTAATCATAGCTCAATGCATTCTGTACATTTCTTATATGAAAGTTTATCAGTTTATACCAAGGTTATATTGGAAAGACTCTTAAAAATGTCTTATTTTTTTCTCTTCTCTCCCTCTTTAAGCAATAGGACAATTTCTCGCTATGGTCTCGGTTTGCTTATGTGATTGGATTGCTTCTCTGCTTGTTTCTTGATAACAATCTTTTTGTCAAGTTTGAAGACTTAAGAATACTTCTGAATTAAAATAGATATGAATATGAAGAATAAATGCTCCAGCATTAGTCCCCAAATCACAGGTAATGTGTCATAACACTTGTTAATTTTATTGCTTCATAGAATATTCTAAAGGAAGTTTGAAGGTACTTGTAAATAATTTGACTGAATGCCAGGATATAGGAATGACGAAGAAAATTAAGCACATTTAGAAAAGTCTTAATTTTCTTTCACCTAGCCCCTGGATACTCCTGAAATTTTGTCCTAGAAAGAAATAATGTTTTGTAGGTAGATTTTATTTTTTCCCTTCAAGCTACATATTTTGTTCGATTATATACACATTAGTAATGTTGCCTAAACAATTGGAAGAACAGAATAGAGGATGCGAATTACCTTCATGATGAAGATGCCTTTTGAGGGCTATGATGGTAAAACTGCATATAATTTTTCCAAATTAAAATCTGGAAAAAGACTGGAAAAGTTTTCCCATATTGCCACACTATTTCTAGATAATTTCCAAGCCTAATTTCATGCGTTCTTTAGAAAAGAAGAACGCAGTGGACTGGTTTTTGTTGTACTATTGAGTTTTTGTAATACGAGCTGTGTAAGATCAAGGAGAACGCATGTTTTGGATCTAGTACTGTAATTCTAAGAAGGCTTGTGGAATGGTTAATGGTAGGATGTGGTCCTCGAGGTTGTAGCTTTAATCCAACAAGTGACAGCTATTACTGTCTTGCTGTAGAGTCACTCGAAAGCATAGCAGAGTAACTAGAAATATAAACTCCTAATTTAGCCATTTCAGCGTCAAGGGAAAGTTGAAAGCTAGTGCAGTCATGAGTGAGCACTATGGAAAACTTCAGACAACTATGATTTAAACGTAATGGGAGGAAGAGAGAGAGAGTGTTCCAAGGAAACAAAAAGATTTCAGAAATCTGGAAGACAGCTTCAAATTGAGATTTACAGGTAAAAAAGTGTTACCTAACTTCTTACCAGTTCCCCTTTCAGAAAAAAAACCCCAATCTAATGGATTTATGGCAACATCTAAAAGGAGATTTCAGGTGGTATTTACAATGGCTAACTAAAACAAAGGAAGGCAGGCTACCCTAAACTCCTAAATACAGAAAGGAAAAGTGTCCTCTCTTAGGGAAAATCAAAGCAAAGCCACGGTTATGACTTTTCTCTAAATTGTGTTTAAAGAAGCCTCTCTCAAATCTTCATCCTATGTTTCAGTCCAGGTGTTATAGTTACAAGTCTGTTTAAGAAAATGCCTCTGAGTCTACTTCAAGACAGAATCTGAGGAGAGGATAATTGGATTGACCTCTAATATTGCACTTTCTGATCAAAGTGTCTTATGCAGTTGTGGGAAATCTTCATAATATACTGGATGACAGGAGTAATTCTTTAAGTAAGCAGCCAATTTTAGTCAGCTGTGAAATCAGATGTTTTGTAAGAAACAAGCTCCTTACATATTAAATACAACACAATTATTGAATAGAAATTCCAGTAATGTTCTCTGAATAAGGAATGCCTTTCCTGAATGATAATATGTCCCTTCATTGCTTTTTGAGTCAAAGGGAGAGATGAGAAATTTGAACCTTAAAAAGTCAGTCTCTTTTAGTGTTAGGGTGGTGTAGGGCTGTAGGTTGGACCTTATGATCTTAAGGTCTTTCCAATGTTTATGATTCTGTAATTCTATGAATCTATGATCCTGTGATTCTGTGGTGGCTTATGCCTAGATGCTTAATGATACAAACTCGGTTTTGTTGGGGTTTCTTTTTGTCTGTTTGTTTAGCTACAGGATTAGAACAAAGATGGACAGATAAGAAAAGTACTTAGCATCTCCAAGGAACCAGAAACCAGTATGACACACACCATGAGATCTCTCAGAAACTTTTTTTTTTACACATGTCTGTCTGCATTAACTTTTTGGAATCATGTCAGCCTGTCTGTGGAAAATGAACTCTTTACATCTGTTTCTAATGATTTTCTGGAAGATGGTTCTGACAAAAATATCAAGAGCCTGCCACTCCTGTATACAAATAGTCATCAGTCCAAAGCTAATTTTGACTGGGTTGTGATACAAAATACTACAGAAAGCCTGTCATTGTCAGAGATCACAAATGACAATGTAAAAAAATTAGTCAATTTATTATCTAATTTCAGACAAGGCTCTGGGTTGCAAAATCTGACCCTGACAAATATGTCAGTGGACTGGAATGCTCTTACTGAAGTTTTTCAGACTGTATGGCGCTCATCCGTCGAATACTTCAATATTAACAGCTTAACACAATTGTCAGATATCCGCAGCTATAACTTTGACTATTCAGGTACCTCTATGAAAGCACTGGCAATGAAGAAAGTTCTAATCACAGATCTGTACTTCTCACAGGATGACCTGTACAAAATATTTGCAGACATGAATATTGCGGCCTTGACAATAGCTGAATCAGAGATGATACATATGCTGTGTCCTTCATCTGATAGTCCCTTTAGATATATAAATTTTTTAAAGAACGATTTAACAGATCTTCTTTTTCAAAACTGTGATAAATTAATACAACTGGAGACATTAATCTTGCAGAAGAATAAATTTGAGACCCTTTCCAAGGTAAGC